ATAACAGCTCCTTGTTGCTTCCTTAATTTAGTTTAATTGTGCTACAGTACACCCACTTTACAAGTTTTTTTAAGATAATTTCTTTTGTTGATTGTTTTTGTTTTCCCTCAGACTGATGTTCACGGCACATGTAAAAGCAGATATGAGAGGCAAGGACCTTTGTTGCTGAAGACCAGGGATCTGAATCAGTGCCAACAGTCCAGACTAACACACTTCTGGCCTCAYTCTGTTGCTCTAACCGAAGACACCGTGAGTTTCAACATCTTTGTCTTTATTTAAAACGTTCTAAAGGGAAACTTATGGTCATATGGTTTAAAATCAACTATTTGTTTTGTTAAATCCAGATGTAAAGATTAATTTTCTCTTCAACAGATGTTTCTGATGAGGTATTTTTGTTGTGCCAGTCGTTGCAGATGGAGCTCAGCTGTGTTCAGCGTCACGGAGAGGCAGTGATGGAGGAGGTTAACTGCACTGAAGTGGTATCCATGCCCAGGACCTCAGGATTTGTAAAGACTAAGACAGAATCTGCACTGCTCCTGCTCAAAACACACTCAGGACCTCCTTCAGGAGCAGGTCAGGCTAGCATCAGCACTTTTCCTTCCTCTTTAGTCGCTCTGTTTTTCATGCAGTCAGAGCTCTGATTTCCTCGTTGCTTCAGCAGAATCTCTGAGTGCTGGTGAGCTGACTGACCTGCGGTTTGAGGACGGCGGCTCTGCAGGGCTGGGAAAAACCAAAGCATTTACACCACAGAGAGTTGGTCAGTCTGTCAGGTTGTTATGCACTCTCCACTCAGACCCACAGCTGGTAGGTCACAGTTTGCTTACATCATTATTTCCCTGTAATTTCTCATTTTATATTTTATTTCATCTGGCTCACACGTGCAGCAAATCAATAAATAACTTCAACTTTCTTGTATTTTACCTGTGGAGCGCCACGTGTGAATGAATCATTCACACTGAGTTTATGAATCATTAAAATATTTCACTAACATATTTTTCAATATTTAGCTCACTTTTTAAGTGTTAAAATTTTTCCACGAACATTTTATTATTTAGCTCATAGTTTTTACATTTAGCTAATTTTTACTAAACGTTAATGTTAAAAATCTATTTAAATATTAAATCCTAAATCCAAATATAAAGGTTAAACCATGTTGAAGTTCACATTTACGTGTTTTGGAATGGAACGCAGCCTTCGCTGTTGGTGCTCGGCTCATGTTATGATGTCATCATCCTGAGACAATAGCAAGTGCTATCTCCGATGCAGCTAAAGCTTCCCTACAAGACATCAAACTTGCAGTTCTGGCTGGTGTCTGAGCTGCAATTCAAACTTCTGGACCACAGGGACCACCCATATTGTTTTTATGAACACTTTTTTGAATTTAGATTTTAAATATTATCTTCAGCTGTATTAGCAGTGACTAGCATTGGCCATTGTTGATGTTTGTCGCAAGATGATGACATCATCCTGGTAAGTTGATGCTAACTTCTGCTAACGCTTTTAGTGYTGCTGAAGATAATATTTAAAATCTAAATTCAAAATGTGTTCATAAAATCCAAGGGGAACCTTTAGCTGCATTGGAGCGCTAGTGGTTGCTAATGTCTCAGGATGATGACATCGTAACACGAGCCAAGAACTAACAACAAAGGCTACATTCCATTACAAAATACATAAATATGAACTTCAACATTTAAGGTTTAACTTTTACATTTAGATTAAAACATTTAGATTTAGGATTTAATATTTTCATGTTTTTAACATTTAAATTTAGCATTTAGTAAAACTTAGCTACATGTAAGAACAGTGAGCTAAATGGAAACTTTTTAACACTCAGAAAGTGAGCTAAATATTAAAAAATATATTAGTGAATTTTTTTAATGTTTCATTTTACACTTGGCACCTTGTTTTTACCAGACCACTGACARCATGTTTGTGTTTAGAGATCACAGCTTTTCAGTCCTGCAAATTTTCAGCACCATCTGAAAAATGTTGGAAAGTTTCAGTCAGAACCAACAGTTTACAAAATGCTAAATAGTTTTATTTCATAGAAGAATTTTAGAGGAACCAAAGTGGAACCTGTTTTATGTGAYGCTGAATGATGTGCTTGGATTTTACTGAATCTGCTCCCAGGTTTCACAGGAGCTGCTTCAGCTGGTGTTCCAGCTGAAAGGTATGAATTTTTCTCAACTCAAGACACTTTGGCATGAAGCATCCTTCAAGTGCCGGAATGACTGGTCAGTATTTGTCCTGAAACTATTATTTGTTTATGTCTCGTCTTTGAGATGTATTGCCCTAAACCTCTGCACAGTATACAATGAAACCAGTTAAGTGAGTCTGTGGAGTGATTTGTGGTTCAGGATATGCTTAACTTAACTTCAATTTTGAAATGCATCTGAGACTTTTTTTTTTATCATCAAATGAATCATAAGATTCATGGATGCACAGATCCAGTTTTTTCACATCCCATATGATACAAATAACTGAGGTTTAGTATTGTAAAACACTGATCTGATACCAAAGCACAGTGCTGAATTGACTTAAACATTCTTTTATTTTTTAAACTCATAGATGTAAATGAACTGAATTAGAAATTTATTTCATAACAGTACAACAATAAACCAATAGCTTCACAAGCTCTGTGAGTTAAGTGAAAATAACGTTACTTTATTGAATTAGGAGTATAACACCCAATAAATGAAATGGAGAAAAAATAATAGTTTGACTACTTGGATCAAACGTAAAAGCAAACAGAAATAAATCCTCTTTCAAATGGTTCAGTCAGCAAAATTAGTAATTCAAAATATAATGTAAAATACAGTATATAATGTAAAACTCGTCGTTTTGACATCTTTTATTGCCTCCAATATTTGTTTGTACACTTTAATGTGCAGTTCAGTCGTCTCAGACAAATATTTTCTGATTATCATGTTGTAACGTGGCTCCAGATGGTTGACGATGAGCTAATGTGTTTGCTGAAGTAGAGTAAAAAAAAGTTCCAGATGGCTGATCCTTTCGATCGCTCTGTTTGAAAACAATGTGAGCCTCTCTGCGCAGCATGTTGCTAGCAAATGTCATTGCTCACGGGGTTGAATTAGACTGAATAAATCTGCCCCTGTGGATCGGGTCCTTTGTCACGATACCTGATCTAGAATTTATTTCAATATTAGGATACATACCAATAATATCAGATTGGAGTTTAGATCAGATTTTATTAACTCTTTTGATATCGACGCCACCTATCTGTCTGTCTGTCTGTCTGTCCGTCCGTCCGTCCGTCCGTCCGTCCGTCCGTCCGTCCGTCCGTCCGTCC